CTCCATAACGTCAAATATGCGTCAAAAACTACGAAAATTAAATTAAAATATTTTAAAATTTTGTGCATAATCTCCATTTATTTTTATTTAAAACTCTCTTCTCTTCTTCTTCTTCGGATATTTTTGGATTATATAGAAAAAACTTTATATACTCACATTCTATTGACCTTAGAGATTGCAAATATACTGGGGGAGGAGAGAAATTTTGTTTCTTTAAGTATTTTTTCAACCAAACAAACTTACGGGACCGGGGAGCGAATAGGGGTGCTGGGCGGGGTTAAAGCGTACATACTGGGGGGTAAAACATGACATACACATATAGTAAAGTCGAATTTTTAATTTATAATTGACTAAATATAGATTATGTACGGAATTTCAAAATATTTTAATCAAAATTTTAATTTAGTATTTGACACATATTTGACGTTAGAGAATTTTAACACTCGATTTGACAAGACAGCGACAGAAGGAAAAGGAATGTTGCCAGTCCCATTGAATTTTCTTTAATATTTTTGTTTTTGAATTTTTATTTTAAAAAATAGCCATTTTTAATAATATGTGCTATTTGGGATTCGTTTCACTTTATGGCGCTCAAAATAAAGAAATTTTCTATAAAAAGTCTATTCTAATGCTCTTGAGACAAACATAAAGAGCTTGAGTTGACCTCCCCCACTCTATTTGCAATCGCTAAGGTCAATAGAATGTGAGTATATAAATTTTTTCCATATAATACACAAATAGCCGAAAACCATATATGCAACAATAAACCAGTGCGAGCTTCTAAAGTGGAATAAATTTATTATATCAAATCAATCACAGTTAAGGCTCTCCTTCCCACTGGCGCTAGCCTAGCATTTGTAAGGGTTTGGCTGTCACAAAATGCTGCAAAAACCATGTGACCTTTCTTCACGAATCTTTTTTTATTTGTTTGTATACATCTTAAGACGTGCTTATAATTATATTTCCTTCCCCAAACTCAACTCAAACTGTTTCAAATTTACCCCTTAAACGCCCTAAAAAAAGATGGTTTTATAAGTAATTTTTTTAGCATTAAATGTATTCAAATCGATTTTAAAACTAATTACGAGCATGTCTGGAAGCTTCCTTAATAAAGTGAAACAAAAATTATTTCAAAATATTAAAAAACATGGTCGCAATTTTGTGAGGGCCGACCCTCTGCAAACCAAATTTTGATCATTTTTGTTGCTTGTAATGTGGCGCCCTCACGTGAATTTTGTTGCTGACGCTTTTGAAGACGGGCAAAGGAAACCAGGTACGTATTCGAATTATTTGGATAAATTGTGTGTGTATGGTTATCGTATTAATCATGATGCAATGTAACAAAACATAAAACAATAAATAATTAATAAGATGGTTTGACCACTGTGAAGTAAAGGAAGTCCACAAGAACTTGGACCGGCGCCTGCGCGCGGCGCGACTTCAATAAGCAAAGATTAGGGTAAAATCGTTATATCGCATTAAATAAAGAGATAGTACATGATACATGATCCAGAGATTACATGATATAATAATTGTTACTACCTATTCTTACTTCGCTCTATTATTTTTAAATTGTTTAAAAAATTAATATTGTTAAAAGTGATAAAAATTATACTACTATGTATTATACTGGTGATAGTTAAAGTGCCATAATAGTAGTACTCTACAAACAAAAAATAATTCGTTCAAACAAAAAATAATTCGTTGAAAAAAAGCCAAACCAAACCAAAATAAAATAAAAACACTGAAAACTGAGATGTACTAAGATAAAAATTATTAGTGCATAGGAAATGGTTTATACAGAGTGTTATAATATTAACCCACATAAAAAAAAACTAAACCCACTTTATTAAAAAGGTATGTACTACATATACGAAGGCAATGGACATACATATAGGCAATAATAATGCATATAAACATTTATTATAATAGATAATAATATTGTTTAAAAAATGGACGATTACGATGGACTACTTAACTTTTAACAGAGATATTTCAAATAGGCATATTTCTAGGATCCACCAATTCGGTCAAAAGACATTTTATGTAGAATTCCGTAAAAGTTTTTTAGTTTTTTTTTTCCAAAAAACTTCATCTTTGAAAATAATTTGCCCGGTAACAGTGCGTCGGGCATCTGTAGTGTGTAGCTCTTATAATAAAAAATTTAGGAATTTTGTATAAGTGCCTACCTAAAGTATGTGTCAGGATGTATTTCAGGAAAATATTTTAACTTCTATACGGTGACTCAAAAAAGTGTGAGTGGACCGGGATGATTTTTTTAAATGCAACACTCTGTATATTGTTGCATTTTTGGCTTCCTTTCTGATCACTTTACATAATCCTAGATAAGATGTAAATATATTTGGATAGTTTCAGAGATATTAATAAATAAATAAAAAATATATATTTTTCAATAAGTTACAAAGTAAGTTGATAAAATATGGCATTTTCAAAATAATAGTTTAAGGTACAGCTCTTATCATATTTTTATGCAATTGTCTCAAAAGTCTTAAAAATCGATTTTTAAGAAAAAACTAGTTTTATAAAAAATTCATTACTTTTGACTTTTGAGACACCCTGTATAACAATTTTTTTTACATATTATGATGCTTCTAGGCTCATGTATTTTTTGGAAACTAGTTAAGGTGTGACTTTGACCTGAATCTGCGAAAATATGATTTTTTATGTGGGTTAATATTATAACACTCTGTATAAACCATTTCCTATGCACTAATAATTGTTAATTTTTTCATATTTTGTATTGACTTTGTAATTTTAACACATATTGAATAATATCTACCAGCAAAATAATTTTTCCATAAAATATGGTCCACCGTTGGGATTTTGGGCGCCGCGCCGGCGCCTTTGACCCTGGATTTATCGAGAGATTCGTAAGTGCAAATAGTCGATGCGCCGCCTTCTGTTAGTTTAAAAGCTACCTCGTCTCTTCGGATTCCCCGCAAGTGTTATAGTTTGTCTAGGGAAGGGCAGCCTTAAAAATGTTTGAACACTTTGATTATTATTTTAAATCCCACCATATTTTTACATAAAAAATATTTCTATAGTGCGATTCAAACAACAACGACAATGTTTACAATGTCAAAGAACAAAAAAATAAAAATAAGATTCAAAAATATTTACTAAGTTTATACTAAATATCAATGACCTCTAGGTAAATTTACCTCGATGTCATTGGTAAATATAGAGCAAACATTAGACCAGTGTTTACAAGATCAAATTCGATAATCAAAATATAAGTCATTTACGGCGTAGAAAGCCTTGTCTAGTAAATAAGATTTCAATGCTTTGCGAAATGAAGAAAATGATGTTATGGATTTGATTTCAAATGGCAGGTGATGTAGGCAAGTAATGATACCAGGTGTACATTTTTTTCGAGTTGTATAATATTGAACTGTTAACTAACTCTGAGCATGGGGTAGGTAGATAAAGATCTTGCTCCGCGTTCCTCAGTGGATAAGTGTGAAATGGCGTGTGGGTGGATATTTAGCATCTACATTTTCATCCATCTAAATTTTAGACGTTAAATCTGCTTTTGTTTGTAAAATCTGCATTTTAGACTCTTAAATGCAGATTTTACAAGAATCAACTGAATATAAAACGACAGAACTGACGTTATTGGATAGACGAAAATTCAGACTGAATGAGAGAGGACTATACTAAATAGCCAGAAAAAAATCGTCAACATTATTTGAGCAGGCAAATAATGCTGCTTCAAAAAGACAAATAATGCTCAAAAAGACAAATAATGCTCCTTCAAAAAACCGCAAATACGTCCCACCAAAATAATTCTCAACTGATCATTAAATCACCAATAGTGACTTAATGATCAGTCGAGAATTATTTTGGTGGGACGTATTTGCGGTTTTTTGAAGGAGCTTATTCGAAATCTGGCAATTTTATTTTCCGATCCTCTTTTTAGAAACATTTCTCTAGAAATATCGGCTTTTTGTAGAAAAAATATCGGCTTTTTGTAGAAATATTTTTTAAGTAAAAATAGAGCAACTTAAAATAATAATTGAAGCGTGTCCAAGCATTTTGTTTAATTTCTGTTTTTGATATAATGAATTTATTCCACTTACTAGTAGAAACTCACATTTTATAGCAAAATTGCAAGATGTATAAAGAATATATCGTTCCAAATTTGCATGCATAGCGAAGTGGGCATGAATATACAATTACTTGCCATCGAATATCTTCTTAACAAAAATGATTACCGCGATTTCTCCTAAGAATTGTTCTGGTAAAAAAGTAGGTACTGTATAAAGTTGTTATACTGCCAAATGCATGCGACTTCGCCATAAATTTGAATTTTATTGACTTCATAAAATCACTCTGATTTCTTGAAACCCCTTCTTCGCCGCTAGAAGAAAATATACAAAATAAAAAAGTAATTTTTTGTAAACACCACTGCGTCGATCCAATGGAGACCTATTTGTTGTAGGTGTTTTATTAATAAAACAAATTTTGCCACACGGACAAAAAATACTTAACTTATTAGTAGGTTTTATAACTTAAAAATTATGTTTAACTTTAATTATTTTTTTAGGAATTTATTCTTTGTATTATTAACATCACAAGTTAGATTTTAGTGTTAAAACTTCTTTTGTACTACTGTCTTTCACCGTTTTTAGAAAATCTGCTCCCCTCTCCATTTCTCGGCATCGTATATTAACTTATATACTGGTGTTCTGTTTTCTAGTTCAATTATGTTTCTCATACAGCCAATACTTTCTTTCGCTGTTATACCATAAATTACAGAGCCGCTAAATATTTCATGTATAATCGCTTATAAATTGTAATAGGTCTGGATAACTTAAAACTGTAAATATTTATTTTATAATATACTTATTAATTGAATAAAGTGTAAGTCACAATAAAAAAAACTGTGCACAATAGTAAAAAACTAATGTAAAATATACCCATTAATAATATATTCATTCTTAGGTTTAAATAGGAGAGAATTAATATAGAACACTTACTATTACAATTACCAATAGGAGGCATCCTAAATCCAGACAATGGATCCGAGGTTGCAAACGGGAAGGGCCTCTGTCCGAAAGCAAAGTGAAATTGTTGCTGTTGCCCTAAAACAGAAAGCACTAAATTAGACTTAATTACTGCTCTGGGTCATCATTATTTAAAAAAAAACTATAAATATTCTACTGAAAAATATGCTATCTATATTGTGTGGCTGGGAAATGACGACCAATGACATTTCCCATAAAAAATTACATATAAAATGACAGCGATCTTCATTTCATAGCCATCGATGACGCCGTTTTTTTTTTTCGATCATACGGTACTTTACATTAAATAGGTGCCCATACACGGAAAGGCCTGGCCTTGAGATCCCTCCGTCGGATGAAATCTTTGTGAGCAAGACCAAGTCTTTGCCAGGCAAAGCCTTTGACTTACTAAACCTGTCAAAGGCCAAATCCAAAACAATATTCAATATTTGATTCTAATATCAGAATCATTGGGAAGAAGCAGTTCACAATAGAACTCAATGGAGAAGAATTGTAAATTCAGTTAACAGCGACAACCAAAAAGTAAAGAGGCAAGAAAGCAATGAGATTTTTGAATGTCCGGAGTGCGGTAGGCAAATAACATCACGTATCGGGCTTTTCAGTCACAGGAAAGCTCATGAAAGAAAACGTCTTGCGTAACCATCTTTTGATGCGTGTCGAAAACTCGTCGGCGAGTAATGGCAGTATGTATGTTGTATTCAATATTTGTAAGTAGATCAGAAGCACTATCAATAAAAAACCAATTACAGTTACTGGTTTGGTTTGGTTTCGTTATTTGAACCATTCATATAAAATTTAGTTTTAATAGCATATTTTCAGTTATTTCTTCTATAATTATTGATCAAGTAGTTTTTAATTTATAGTTCGAGGTTTTTATTTTATCGCAAAAATTCTTTTTTATATTCACCAGGAATTTTTTTTTCTCCTTGCACAGGTAACACAAAGTAACACATTCTAAAAAATGTTTATACCTCTGTGGCTGATTCGTCTCTTAAAAAAGTCCTATAGGTATTTCGCCACTTGCACTGTAAGAAGATCTACAAAATAAAATAGTTATTTTTATGTAAAGACTGACTGCTGCATTAATCGAACAGAGACCGATTTGTCCGCAGTGATTTACTAATAAACAAATTTGTCTAACGGACAAAAAAATGCTTAAAGTTTCGAGAAGGTAGATTGGTAGATTAAATTGGCTATTCCTCTAAGGTTACACAAGAATACTTAGTTAATTACAATATAGTAAAAAAATATATTTCCAAAGCTCAATTAACCAATTAAGGCCGTAAACAAACATAACATATACAATTTTATATACTAATGGGGGACATGGAAGGAGCCTCCACGTATGCAATAGTGTATCAAAATTAGTAAACAAAAAGTACTACTGTTGGCGTCCCCTGGAAACGTCTTGTTTTAGACGGCCAATCCTTCCACCACCGGACCGAAGTGTACGAACCAACTTGAGAAATAATCATCAAGGATTCTTCTCAGAACCGACCTTGACGATGGCGTCCATAAATATAGAGGGTATAATATGATAAATGCGATGTTCTGTGTATTCAGGAGACACACAGGGACCACACACAAAAACAACCTACTATCCCTGGCATGCGACTGGCCATTGAACTGCCTCATAACAAATATGGGAGTGCAATCTTTGTCAAACCTGACAAAGCAATTACATCAGTTACAAGCCGCCTGCAGAAACCTTTATCTTTACACCACCATTGAATTTCGATTCTCAGAAGGTTAAATTTGTCTTGGGTGACTTTAATAGCCATAGCCCAGCCTGGGGATATACATATTACGACACGAACGGAAGCCTGGTCGAAGAATGGGCAGAATCATGTGATCTTACCCTTATACACGGTACCAAACTCCCACATTCTTTCTACAGCAACATCTGGAAACGTGGATATAACCCCGATATATATTTCACTAGCCTCACATTGGAAGGGCAGTGTATTAAAAGAGTCTACCATCCCGTGCCTAAAACAAGCACAAACCAATTTTTTGTATACGCAGCCGTCAGATCACCAAATATTCCATTTAGGCGACGGTTTAATTTCAAAAAAGCCAACTGGCAGAATTTCTCTAGTGAATTGGATTCAGCTATTAGTGAACTGGAACCCATACCAAAGAACTACGAACGATTTATTGATCTAGTGAGGTTAGTCTCAAGACATACAATACCAAGGGGTTGCAGAGAACAATATATTCCAGGTCTTTCTATCGATTCTAGAGAACTGTTAACCAGGTACAAAAAACTCTTTAAAAAGGATCCTTTTAGTGAAGACACGCTAGAATGTGGCTCAATGTTAATGCAAGAACTGAGTAATTCCAGATAGCAAAGATAGATAGACAACAACGAGAAAATTGATATGACTCACAGTAGTAAGATCGTTGGAAATATACAGTAGTAAGATCGTTGCAAAAGATGGAATTTCCTAAAAAAAACTTGATGGCGACCCAATTTAAAGGAAACAAATCGGTAACATCAAACCTAACCAGATTGCCCACCGGCTGCTGAAGAATGGAAAGCCCGAAAAGAGAACTAGAATACCAAGATTAGAGAGAGATCGAGCAAACGAGATTAACATCCTGGATAATCCCTACAGTTTAAAAGAACTCAATTACGCTTTAAACAATATGAAAAACGGGAAGGCAGCAGGCGAAGACGATTTGTGTACCGAGCAGATTAAGAACTTCAGCAACATTTTAAATTATAATTGTACATTATGTACCTATATGGTCCGGATACGAAAAAGTAAAGTAAGTTACTAATTCATTATAATAAAATTAAATAATTATAATAAAATTAAATAATAAAAAATATTGTAATTATATTCTTGCAAATTAAGTAAAAACATTTGTTTTTAAATATCTTGTGGAATATATATCAACATAAAACGAGATGTCATTAACGAAATATCATCGTAACAACAGATATTTTAGAAACGTCTTGGTTTACTTATCAGCGGCGGCTCGTCAGGTGCAGTAGGTGAAGGGGCACTTCACCGAAAAAATACTCAAATTAAAGAAAAAACTTTACTGCTTAAAATATTAATTTAGTTTAATATATTTACATGCATATAAATAATAAAATGGTAATTTTTTATAAGTTATTTATTTTTTTCCGGGCGGACCTCTGCATAATAGGTCCACCGCATCGTTAATTCCGGCCCAAAAAGTAGCATTATAGGCCCACACGCGCCTACAGTCCAGAAGTGCAAGTGAAAATGTTTCTATTTTTGAGCCAAGCGGCTGCACGGTTTCCATGGTAACGTGATGTCAGCCTAGCGGCAGATGTAAATCCCCCCGCCCCGAAGTTTATTATCGGTGACCGATGTGAATAGCCCCCATACATTAACGTATAAGTTGGACCGATTTGATCCGTCCGAATTGTGTCGGCGAACTAGGCTCGGCACATACCAAAACTCTCGTCATTTTTGAGCTTGAATTTGGCTCCCCGACTTTATAGCCCGATTAGATTTGCCTGATTAAATTGTGTTGTTAATGGGACAAAATTCGACGTTTTATTACAGATTTGATCTGGCTCGCGATCTTTTGGAAGTCCTGAAAGATTTAACCAGCGGTCTTGGATTTACTCAGCATATTAGTACTGTGAGTTGTAAAAATGAACAACAATCGTAGAAGACACGCTATAGCTTGTGCCATGGCGTATGTATTTATCGCCAATAAACAAAAAGTAAAAAAACGAAGCAAGTGGGTAAAAAAATGGATTTCTCATAGAGATGAACTAGGTTATATGCTAAGTACTAAGTTGATACGCGTTGCAAAACAGAACCAAATATAATTTGACGGGTGTGATTTCATCTGTGGGCGATAGTGCACGGCTGGATTCGGCTCGGTTCGCCCATACACACGAAGTTTTATCCGCGTATTTGGCTCGTGCCATATCAAATTGGTTCAGTTATCCGCTGGTGTATGGGGGGCTAATGAGTTTTTGGTTTTGGGCAGTTCTCTTCGTCTTCCTTTTGTTCAGGAAATACGTGACGGCGCGGTGGCGCATAATTTATGCATTTATACTAATATTAGGCTACTTCGGCGAGTAATTAACCCTGTAAAGATGGTAAAGTGTTTTGTGTATGTGTATGTGTTAAAAAATGAACCCAATTAATGACTTGGTGTGCAATTTATTGGAAACTCCCTTAAGGCGGGGGACAGATGAAGATAAGAGGGATGTTTTATCTCAAGGGCGACCAACTGAAACTTTAACTATAAATTGCAAAAATGAAATAAGAAAAAGTGGTAAATCTTATAATATTAAATTTAAGACTTCCTGGTTTTCTGATTTTAATTGGCTATGTAGTGGTATTGTTTTACAAAAATTATTTTGTTGGTCGTGTTTACTATTTTCTAATAAACATGGCATTTGGAATAAAGAATAAGGGTTCACTGATTTAGTACAAGGGGATTCTGCAGAACATTTAAAATGTCAGTTAATGCTAAGAAATTACAAAAAATACAATAGCCGATGCTTTAGAAAAAAAAACGTTCGACTCTATAAGCATAATTTTAATGAAAATGTTCGTTTAAATAGGCTTTAAGGAATATAATTAATTAATTAAATGACGATATTACTGATAAGTTTGCATCAATAAAGAACAGAAAAATTGAGCTGATTTACAAAAATTAGTAAGGTTAGTAATATAAATAAGTCAAATTTATTTTGGTTAATAATGCTTAGTAAACATTAATATAATAATAATTAATGTAATAATTCAATAATAATTGAATGGCTCCTAGATTGTAACCAACAATTTTTTCAATATCGAAATTTCAATGAAAAAACCCAGGAAAAAACGCTATACTTATGAAAATTACAACCTTATTTCACTGAAATCCCTATTTTGAAAAAACTGTCGGTTACAACGTTTTTCGGGGAAGCCATTCAATAATTAGGTACAGTGTTCGCCATAAAGTTGGATCCATATGGACGGTTTTTTTTGGTATTAGAGTTTAAAAAAACTTTTTGTGGCTATCAATTCTTCTTTAAAAACAACTTAAAATGCACCAAGTCAAAGTTGAAACATAATTTTGTTAGTCAC